TATGTAACATCATAGAAATCAGAACACGTTACTAAACAGAATGCCTGCCAGGCACCATAAAAAATAGGAATCATACCTAGCCTGTGAATATAGAGGTTATCATCAGAACCCATAAACATTGGAGAAATCCCAAAAAGGAGTCTGCAAAACAATCAAATAAACAAACCACTAACAAGCAAGAAAAAGAAATAAAGTTACCAGAAAGGAACCAGATTCTGCCCCCATCAAGACCATACAACTCAGGAAGCAACCAAAATGGCAAATTTCAACCACAATTAAATTAAAACTTAATTTTTCCTGCTGTTGTTTGGATTGAATGATCAGAGATCCTTTAAACATTGATATTCAGAGACCAAACTGTACGGATAAAATTTGGAATCAATCAAAGAAACTAATCCTTAAAAGTAAAATGGGAGAATAGTCAATCAAATACAACAAGAATAAGAACTTAAATGAAAAGGCTCAATCAAATCCGAGACCCAGTTTCTTTTCTCTCTTGCCTTCAAAACCCTAGTCTAAGAACAAATAAATTTGGTTTCTTTTCACAAACCACGACTCCATTCTCTGAAAATCAAACAATCTACGAACAAATTTAATTAAAGAAGACATATACCCATTCTAAGTTTGTCCAAAATTCAATTTTATATTAAAAAAATTTTGACCCAATACCTCAAACAATCAATATTAAAGATCGAACGCATTTTCTCAACATTCCAACAAAGATAAATCGAGATTTAAATCAGAAAGATCTCACCAAAGGGGTGATCGTAGGCACCCATGACCCATCGGTTCCGGACATCCATGGATGAAAAGAAGGCCCATCATCATATATGGTTCAGGGTTAGCGAAAGGGAGAAAAAGTGGAGAACTTTTTATTTGGATTCAGAGAAAAATTTATGGAGGAGAGGAAGTGGGGAAGAATTGTTTGGATTACTGGAAATCGAAATTGGCAAAAGGAAAAAAATTGCAGAGGTATTGAGGAAGAGAGTTACGTGGAAGGGCCGTCTAACGGCTAGTTTAGATGTCGGTTTAGCTTTAGAGGTTCCAGAATTTAGAGTGTGAAAAACATATAAAAGCCCCTCAACTTTTTCACTATGGGCAATTGGACCTGTAGAGAAAATCTAACCCTCAAACTTACGAATATTATAAAGGCAGCTTGTATGATCTTTTGACTTGAAGATTTCTT